ACACACACACACACACACACACACACACACACACACACAGAGAGAGAGAGAGAGAGAGAGAGAGAGAGAGAGAGAGAGAGAGAGCGCTTTAGCAAGCAAGCATTCAGAATGGTGACTATGGGAATGAGATTTTACCTTTTCCTCACCTCTATCTCTAGAGTGGATGCTTCCCCACTTTGCACTCTGGACAAGGTACAAGTTAAGGTTTTCACAGTGAAGAGGAGCCAGCATCTAGAGTGTACTTAACATGATCTGTTAGTAAATTTGAGGACTTTGGGGCTCTGGTTTCCAGAGCACTTTAGAAATATCCAGATTTGGTGACAAGTATACCCATATCCTTTCCTTTCTGGCTAAAGTCCATCCCCTTAGCTAAGTCTCAATAGAGCTTTGGGCACATGAGGAGCTGGTGGTACAAGGAGGCACCCAAACCTATCTGTGAATGGTTTCCGTAGTAAATGCATCAGGGAGAGATGGCTAATAATTGCTTACTGACATTCTGCAATGCTGTTGACTTCCCTTTAGTGAAACCGATAGGCTTGTTCTCTGAAAAGTAGGTGGCTGAATTAAGTAGCCACACAACACGTGAAGAGTAAGGTCAGGTTCACAGAAAAAGAGAAGCACGGGGCAGAAAGGAATAGAGAAGGAAAATGAAAACGATGCTGGTTTGTTGAGAAGTGCCTTCCCGATTCTCCTGAGTGGGCACCAAGACTCTTGGGGAAATGCCACGCTTTATATTGTTAAAGAAAACAAATCTAAAAGTTGACTGTATTTGAGTCCAAAGATGGCCCAGAATTTTCTAACGCACCATGTGTAAGGTTATATATATCTATAGTCGAGGAACAGGAAGCAAGCTGATTGGTTTCAGTTGGCATTTGCCTCATTTGGCCATGGAGGGATCTTTTAGCAGTTTGTGATTGGATACATCTCAATTCACGATGATTTGCAGGGGCTCAACTCTGCTACAAGAATATACTCTTCAGTCAGGTTGCAATTTGTTCATGTCCTTAATTAGGTTACAGCTTACTACACACAGAGGTGGTTTTAGGTCAAATTTTAATACCCAAGTACCAAAACAGAGGCCAACTTTTCAACCTGATAGGAATTCCCGAAAGCCTTCCAGGCCCTTTCCTACACAGGCTTCTGATAAGCATCTTGGCATTCAGGATAGGTGGCAGTCCTACACCTGGTCCCAGGATGTGGTTTGTAGCCTTACAGACTTAAATATATGGCAGTTACTGTACACTTAAACAGAAACATTTAAAAACAAAAATCTCCTTGCTTTCCAGCCTAGTAATGATGTTTAAAATGCCCAGTTTCTCTCCCAATGCCTATTCCCTTCTGCAGTAGGAGGAGAGAGGAGAACCTCAGCCACATAAAGCCCTCAGTCTTCTTTGGGGCAAATGGTTTTTAAAACGCTCCCAAGGGGAGCCATTGATCATCCTGGCTGACAGGATCTGGCCTATTATTTCTGTGCTTTAAGCGATGCAGGCTGGCTCCCATGGTCTTCAGCCTCTAAGTAGAGCTGGTGAAATTAACTTGAATGACCTAATTCCCACCTTCCAGTCCACCCTTCATATGCACTGTGCAGAGGGCAAAACAGAAGCAAAATAGGAAAGATTAACAAGGACTGTGCCAGCTCTTCTAGGAGAAGCCATTGTTTCTCTGCATCTGGGGGGGGGGAAACTATACTATTTGGCAGTGTGGGGGGCCCCCAGGCACCGGCTGGTGCTAATGAGCAATGTGGTCGCTGAGCAGAGCTGTTGCCCTGGACCCGCCCTGTCTACCCTGGTTGACAGGTGCCAAGGGGAGGGGCAGGCCACAGCTGCTGGGGCAGGAATCCCATTATCCTTTGCTGCGCATTGATTCACCCTGTGGGGCCATTTCCTCTCTGGCTGTGCTAATTTGCCTGGTCCTGAGAGCACACAGAATCTGAGGTGAGCAGGGCTGGGCTCAGCTTTGGGTCTGCAGAGGTTTTGTCTGACAGGACACAGGCAGCCAGAAAAGGACAGGTCTGGAGTGTCAGCTTTGCCCTGATACAATTATTTGAGGTACTTAGCACATTAATGACACAACGTACATTTTGAAAGAGTTGTGGAGTTTTTTTTTATTTTTAATTTTTCTTGGTGTGTTTTGCATTCATAGACGGTAATTCTTATTTTAAAACTCGATGTTTTTGCAAAGAAAATTCAGGAAGGGATCCAAGAGTTGGAATCTTGGCTCTGTATATCCACCGTTAAATGTTCACTCTCCTCTAAACTTACCATCGGGCCTTCTGGGACACTTTGGGAATTAATCTACTGATCCTCTTGCCTAGGATGGTGTGCGATGGCTTTCTAGTTTATATTAAAAGGCAATAATGGAGGTTGAATTTATTATAGTTAAGATTATTGACCATCATTTGTCTAGGTGTTTGGTATTAGAGGCAAGTCAGGTTCACCAGCTTTGTGTGAATCACACTCTGGACCTCAAGATTAAGCGAGCCCCTTAAATGTAGTGTGAACTATCTCCCTAGCCTCATTTTGGGTAAATTTCAAGCCATGTTTAAATATCTGACCAATCAGCTCTGTTCTCCAATTGCCGTGATTTCTTTTAGCTTAGACGTGTTTGCTTCTGCTAGGGGAGTTGAGCAGGGATTTACTTCAGAAAGGACACTATTCATAGCTTGCTTTTGTTTTCTAGCTGCATTTCTGCTGTTTCTGTGTGAGTGTGATACCCCCAGCATTGTGGAACCTCCTTCCTGAAGAAAGACGAGGAGAGGCAGCTCTGAGACTTGAGATAGTGCTGAGCTGACCCACTCAGAGCTCTCTGGAGACGATGCACTTAACTGCCTGCACCATTTATTAAAGAACTAAACCAGGAAAGGTAGAAGGCAAGATGGAGATAGAATGAGGAAGACAGAATGTTTGTGTGTGTGTGTTTGCCTGTGTGTCCCTATGTGCACCCATGCATGAATCTTTGTATGTGTGTGTGCTCCTATGTGTATATATTCATGTTCCTATGTGCACATGTGCATGCATGTTTGTGTATTATATGTGTATGTGTGTATGAGGGAGAGAGCGGGGTGGGGAGAAAGAAACAGAGACAGAGAGACAGAAAGAGAACACACATGCATACACACACACACTCACACGCACACACGCACACACGCACACATATATATATACATACATACACACACACACACATATATATATACATACATACACACACACACACATATATGTATGTATATACCTGTGGAAGCTAATATTGGATATCTTCATTTTTCTCTACATTATCATCATCACCATCATCATCGTCATTAT